CCCATCTGCCCATACTCCCAGGTTCACCACCAAGAAGAATATGAAAATCTGCTCCTCTCCTACCGACCCCACTGTCCAGAAGCTGATCAAGAGCCTGGACAACAGAAGAAAAAACCCTTCCCAGCGCAAACCCAAGAGGCAGAAGAAGAAGCAGGTCTAAGCCAGGCCTGGAGAGGTAGGTGAAGGGCAGACTGGGAGGGAGGGGATCACAAGCTGGAGAAGGGATGGCAGTAATGCTGCCCTGCATCCCAAATTCACCCCCTCAGCAGCCTGGGGATGAAGCTGGTGGCAGAAATGCTTGGGGACACTGCCCCACAGCCTCAGGTTGGGGTGTGCTGAGACACTCACTCTCTCCTTGCCCTCTTCCCTAGGGCAAGCACTTTCCCCACTGACCACCGACCAGCAATGGACACCTGCAGCACACTCACCTTCCAGCGTGGGGCAAGAGGGGACTGTGCTCTGCCCCATGTCCTCCTCCCCTCTGTCGGCACCCCCTCTCCCCAGCAGGGAGCTTGAGCCCCAGCAGTGAGCACCTTCACCATGGTGGGGGGGTTCCTGCAAGGCACCTGGTGGGATGGCAGCTTCATTTGGGGATATTATACATTTGTATTTATATTAAAGACTCTGCTTTACACAGTTGCACCTGGAGGGCTCTGCTTGCTGCTTCACAGAGCACCATTTATGCTGCAGACTGGCTTTTCTGGAAGATGGCTCTTATTTTTATACCAAATAAATGATGGCTGCAATTCATTCCCCTCTAGCCCACTTGCTCTTTTCCAGCTTCCAAGCAGTGCCCAGGGCCAGGGTGCTGCATCTCACAACACCCACGGTGGCTGAGAGCAGCATGGGGACTGCAGGTTCTGCTATACTGTTGGGCTGGAGCTTACCTTTAGCTTCAAGTTGTTGCAGTATCACAGTAGGAAGATAGGTTTTTTCCAAATATCCTTTGATTTTTTTCAATCCTTTTTTTTTTAGATATAAAATTGCAATGAGGTCAGAGCAAACTTCTCATTTTAGTGCGATTTTACCGCTTTGTCCTCACTCGTTTTTGCTGTATTCAGAGATTGGGTCATTATTAAGCAAAGTGCTTTGCTTTCAGGAGCGATAAAAGAAACTCTCTTAGGCTTTCTTCTCCAAAACGAAATGTGTGCATGGTGGAAATAGTGCACAGAAGGCTATGCAGGTGCAGCAATAGAAGAATCTGCAGAATTCATTGCAAATACAATAGTGAGCAGCTCTATCAAACCCTGAGCACACTGAAAGGTGAGGCTGCAAGCAGGTGGGTGGATAGATCCCCTGACTGCAGTCTCCCCACTGTGCTGAGGAACAATGGAAAGGCCCTGTAAAAGCCACAGTGCTGTTTGCTTTTGGCCTTCAGACGTGGACTTCAGTCAGTAAGGGTCTATTAAGCTGTATGATTACAGTAATAGGATTTGTGGGGCTTAAAAATTTCAGCATAGGAAGTGTGCTGGCTGGCGAACGCTTGTAGCTGAGTGCTTCTATTGAGTGCATTTATATGGCTGATTGCTTTATCTGGTGAGCGTTGAGGTGTATTCTTTTAAGACTGTAAAGAAACTGTGAAGAACCCGATACCGACCCTGGGCACTGAGCCGGCCTTGTGCCACAGTGCGGCTGTCCGGGCTCCAGGCAGGATGCAAGGCAATAAAACATATCTTTCAAACACAAACACAGTCCTTCTGGCTCTCATGACCGTCTTTGGGGAGAGTGGGAAGGGTGGGGAAGACAGGTTAGGGTGAAAGGGCTGCCGTGCTCCTGTGCTCTCTGGGATGTTAGAGGAGTTATTAATGGGGCTGTGACTTGCTCTGGTCATATGGGAGTGCATGCACAGGCATCTGGCCGGGGCTGACGTGAGTCTGCAAGCCATCCTCACTGCAAAACACTGTTACAGAGGAAAACAAGGTGAAAAGAACGTAGCAGAAACCTCAGGTGGGAGCAGACAAAAAAACTGCTGTCATGCATGGCAGGTGCAATAGCACCAGAGAACACTCCAATTATACTCTCTGAGCAACAGGCTGGAGGAACTGCGCTGGGCTGGGGGAATTTCCAGGAGCTGGGCCACCCTGGAGCAGACAGGATTAGGTGACAAGCAGAAAGTAGCCAAGCAAGAGAGAAACCACAACATGCAGCCAAAAGAAGGAAAGTCCTGAGTGTGAGCCAAATGATCTGCTCAGCAATTACCCGGTACAGATGAGGCTCCTGGCAGCACAGTATGCTGGGCTGGGATGCTGGACTGAGCTCCAGTGATGCTCACCTGGGGACACATGCACAGGGTTGGTCCCTCCATGCTGTACTGCTGACAACACATAGGAACATGCACACTGCAGCTCTGTGCTTACGGGTTTTGGTATTCGTGCTTACGGGGCTACACGGGTGCTAGAAGGGCGGTGATCTCCAAAACTGTGGTGTGTAGACACGTGCCCTGCAGGAGAGTGGTTTCCTCTGGACCTTGTTTCCCTCAGTGGTGGAACTAGGGGAGGAACTGTGGGTTATTAAGTGAGAGATATGCTCATGGAGAGCCAGCATTTCCAACCACATCGTCCCCCTGGGCTCTGTCCTCCTGCTTCAGCATGGAGATGGAGAAGTGGATGGTGGGCAACGGGGCTCCCACTCTCCCCAGTGTCAGCCACTTAGGAACTGGCACAGAACTGCCTTCCTGTTAGCCAAGACCTCAAGACCTTCTTTGCTCTTTTCTGGCCAAAGTCAAGCGCTCACTGTTTTTTCCTTAATTCCATTTTGACCAACAATTGACTCCATTGACTACATTCTCTCAGCTGGAGGAGATCCCAAGGAGATCCTGGGTGCCACGCTGCAGTGGGACTGAGATGCTGTGGGAGACGTGGAAGCCTCCCATGTCAGAAGCTTGTAGTAGAGGCATGGAAATCAAAACAGCTGTGATGCAGTCTCACATTTCTCAATGAGGTGAATGCAGCCAGGCCAGATTCTGCCACGGGGGCTGGCTGTGTCTGAGCTTGCTGGAATTCCCCTTTTGCCCTTTCTAGCTCCTTGGCTTGGAGGTGGGGAGCAGAACACTGCACAACACCCTGGTAAGAGGGGGTCTCAGGGAGGGCAGCAGCATGACTGGTGCCTCCTGAACAGAGCCCAGCGATGTGTAACAGTAGGTTGGATTTCCTACGGGAGCCCCCTCTCTCCCTCATGCGTTGTTCCCGTTTTCATTAAGAAATTCTTCCTCAGGAGTGAGCGCGAATCACACCAGAGTGGGGGGGGATGGTCGCTTGGATGTGCTTTGTGGCTAACCACATTCTTCTTAGAAATCTCACTGACCCCAACAGAGGGGGAAACCCATCGCATCCCCTTTTCCCAACGTGGAAAGCCCCTTTCCTCAGTCTCTCATGGTCCTCCTGGGGAGCAGAAGTGACTCCAGCAGCCATGCTTTCACCCATTCGGCACTGGGAAAGCTCCATGTCGCATGCAGGAAAGCAGAGCCTCAGTATCTCTCAGGGGCTGAGGGCTGCTGGAGGTGTTGCAGGAGTTATTCTCCCCCCAGCCCCCAGGATGCACCGCCACACCTTTTGCTCATGGCCTGTCCTTTGCCATGAGGACAGGGCCCCCAGAAGTGCCAGGAGGAGAGATCCCAAAGGAGGGGACCTCCAGCACTCCCTGCTGATCCTGCACCATCCTCCTCGCCACAGGATCTCTGCCAGCATCAAGGGAGAATGAGTGGATATCAGGTCCCAGCACCAGACTGCATCCACATGGGACTGACGAATGATGTTAATCCTCTGCTGCCTAAATTCCTCTTCCACCCACCAAGATTTCTTTGCAGTTAATAAGCTTGGAGAGTGCTGAAAGTGGGAGGGTCTGACTGCAGCTATGCTTGCACATCCTGTTTGCACTGCTCCTTCTGCCTGCCAGCTTCCTCCTGTCCCCTCCGGCAGTACTGACATGCTGGGCACGGGCGCAGCTGGAGGAAAGACTCTCCTGATGGAAAGCACAGTGCCGTGCACAAGGTGGCACCAGCAGCCAGCCACACAGAAATGAGGCACTTTGGCAGGTGGCACGGCTGGAGCTTCCTCTTCCTATCCCGGACTACGGAAGGAGCAGCTCGCTGTCTCCTACTGCTGAGAGGAGCAGAGGGATCTCCTGTCCCCAAGGAGACCTTTGTCCCTGTGTTGCAATCTCCACCGAGGTGCAAGGAAGGGCTGAAGCTGAAGCAATGGAGAGGGTGCAGGGGTGGAGATTTCAATCCAAGGCTTGACTATCCTTGTGGGGAAATATTTTTCCTGATATTAATGGGCATTTCCCTGAGTGCAGCTGGTGCTTCTCTCCCTATCTCCAGTTCCCTCCAAGAGGACCCTGGCTCTACACCTCTCCAAATGCCTGTGGGGCAGGGGTGAGATCCCTTCCACTGTCCCTTCCACAGGCTGCATGCCCCATACCACGCACGAGGGCTGGAGCAGGCTGGCTGAGGGTGGTGGTGTTGGTGGCACTGTCCTGACGGTGACCTCAAGGAGGGACAGCCTCTGTCTCTGCTCTGAAGGTTTGCAGCAGGAGTGTGCTCTTTGCTCTTGGTGATGCCTGCACGAGCAGTGAGTGCTGGCAGCCAAGCCTCCATAGGGGATTTCTGCCCATGTGCTGAGAGTATACACTTGCAGAAAGATATGCAGCTGTCTTTGGCCATGAGCCCATTTGCTCCAGGAACACCTGGAAACCACACTGTCTTTTGGCATGTACGCTCAGCCAGGCTCCATCCACCAGCGCTGCACAGATGCTCCAAGCTCAGGCAGTTCTGAATGTGTCTGGTGTGCTGGCAATGGGGAGGGCATGGAGGTGGAGGGGCAGCCAGGCTCCTGCAAACAAGTTGGAAGCTTTAAAGGCAGCCAAGCAGCTTCAGTACACACTCATCTCTGTGGGATGAGCCCCATCCAGTGGGGATGTCCCAGAGAGGTCCTGGAGGAGGGAGTGGGAAATGCACGGGATGAGATCCCAGAAGTGTTTTCCCAGGGGCCAGGGGTGAGGATCTTGACCGAAGCCCACATGCCCTGGGAGGGCACTTGGCTGTGGGGAGGCTGAGCAGCTGGCTGCAAGGAAAGCTGACGGGATGTTCGAGAACTGCACAAAGATCAACATGCTGCCTGCTGTGATTTCCCACCCGTCTTCACCAAAAGAAAGTGAAAGCCACGGGCTGGGACAGATAAATAGGCAGTGGAGAACACAGCAACAGATCGCAGCAAGCTGTGCAGAGCTCACCTCTCCTGCCCGGAGCACCACCGTCTGCAGCCCCTCCTCTGCCTGACTCAGTGACACAATGCAGCGGCTGCATCTTCTTTGCCTTAGTCTCCTGGTGCAGAGATGTATCCTGAATGGTAAGAAGGAAGCTTTACGGGTGCTTTTCTTGCAGAAGGGCTAGGAGCCAATTTCTTGTTTGCTTTTGTATTTGCAGAAGTAATACAGGAATTCACTGCTGGGGCTTTGCAGCAGCCCTCTTGAATGCTCTGCTGGTAACCCGTCCCAGAGAGACTCTGCACTGCCCAAAGTCCGCAAAGGATCCTACACAGAAAACTATGCTGGGAACAGTGGCGGAGCATTCCTGCCCCCCTGTACCCTAGCCCAGCCTGTGCACACTTGATCTCCGTGCTTCCTTTCACCCCCGTGCTTCCTTTCTCCCTTGCCTAAGCAGTCCCTAGCACAACAGGGGAACACCCCTGGCACTTGGAGCACTGGTCTGGGGACAGGGGAGGGCTCTAGGCATGCACGGTTGCCCCCACCAAGCAGTCGTCTTCCTGCCCCACTCCATGGCCCCACTGTCCACGGAGCCCAGGAGCGACCTCAATAACACGTATGCTGTTCCTCCTCCAGTGTACGCTGGCAACAACGTCCTCGACTGCTGCCTGCGAACCAGCGAGAAGCCCATCCCCCGGCGGATAGTGCAGGACTACCGGATGCAGCTGGTGCAGGATGGCTGCGACATCCCTGCCACCGTGTAAGAGCCCTAGTTCCATGATGGGTGAGGGATGGAGCAAGCAGGAGGCAGGGAGGGAGGCGCAGCAGGGTGAAGGAGGGGTGAGATGGGTTTGGGGAACAGGGAAGGATGCCAAAGAGAAGGAAAGGACATGCAGAGGCTCAGACAGAGCAGGACAAACCTGCTGAGAGGTGAAAATCTGGGGAAAATGTGGAGGAAAGTCATCATAAAGGAGACGTGGAGGAGGACGGTGATGGAGGCAGTGGGTGAGAACTCAAGCTGTGGAGGAACATCTTCAGAACATCTCTTTCTTTTCCCCTGTGGACCTGGCAGGTTCATCACCGCGAGGGGAAAGCGGCTCTGTGCCCCACCCCAAGCTCCGTGGGTGCTGCACCTCCAAGAGAAGCTGGACGCTAGATCTGCTGGGAAGGTGGGAGCTGGGCCACGCTTCAGGCATGCACTGGGGAATGGGAACAGCGTGGGCATGGGTTGGATCTGCCCCCAAACAGCTTATCCCAGTCCTAGCGGGACTGATGGATACCACAGCAAATTGCACTGGCAACAAAGCAGAGACCCCTGCTTCTGGCGTCTGGCAATGTGCACCTCTGTGGGGAAGGTTTGGGATGAGGTTTGTGGGTGCTTTGCAAGCTCTCTTCTTGCCCAGAGAGGTGGTGGATGCCAGTCTCTGGAGACAGTCAAGGTCAGGCTCTGGCCATAGTCCTGGTAACCACTTCAGCTGCAGGGAAGGGGCACTGGGAAGGCTCCTGCCTTAGATCCACACTCATCCCAGCTGGGTTTTTCTCTTTCCTAGGTCCCAAATCAAGGCAATTAAGCTATGCAGAAACATGTGCCCAGCCCCAGCACCCAGAGCAGCGCTGACTCCCAGCTGTGAATCTGAAGCTTGTGAAGCCATGAAACCTACCCTGCTTGTATGCCCTGCTGTTGTGCACAGGACCAGCCCTCCTTGGGACTGGTGTCAGTGTGCAGTGCTGGGCACAGCACTTCTGTTCTTTCTTCTCCTTTCTGCCACTGTTGTGACTGAGAAATGTGCATCTGCCCAAGCCATGGGCTGCTTGACAGGAGTCTTGGCCTCAAGGGTTCTCAGCATCACCCCTGCCACTACTGAGGCTGAGGAGTTGATTTGATCTGCAGATGAGTTTGTTGGGATCTCAGCCTTCCTGTGGTCTCATTTCCATCACTGGTCTGTTCCCTTAGGTTTCCAACATCAGCCTCAAGCCTGAGCCCTTCTATATCCCTGGGAAGGGCTGCTCAGTAAAGACTGTACAGGGATGAATGGGAGAGATGGGGATGTCCATTGCCACCGTGCTGATTCCATGTTGTTCTCAGGGAACAGGTGGTACAGTTTCTCTCTTGAGCCCTCACTCCCTTGCAGCTTTCTCTCAGTTCACTATCCTGACAGGTGGAGTGGAGTCAGGGCTGGCATCTGGAACAGGCAAAGGTGCACTGGGGGAGATGTCCCATCCTGGCACTGCTGGGTGCTGTGGAACAACTGGTGTCCACTTGGCCATGGCTTGGCCTGCAGGATGCGAGTGGTGATGGGTATCACTCAGGGTTATTGCCATCCTTCTCGGTCCCTAAGCCTGCCACCATCATCAAAGATTGCTCTTGGCAATGATGCAGGAGCAACATTCACAGCGTGTTCAGGTATTTGCTGCTAGTTCTCTTCAGTGCAATAATTACAGCATTTAGCTGCTTCCTTCCTTCCTTTCTTCTTAAAAAAAAAAAAAAAAAAAAAAAAAAGCTGTGATTTTGTCAAATAAAAAGAAAAAGAAAAGCCTATGGGTTGTTGGCTTGCCTTGTGTTTGAGCCCAAAGAACAGTGCAGAGTATGGGAGTGTGTGGAATGTAGGGTGATAAAATGGCTTTCAGGGATGAGGGGTGATTTCAGAGGGTGAAAGGTAGGAGGGAGCATGGAAGGGGAGATTTGGGCTGGACGTTAGGAATACTTCTCTGAAAGAGTGGTCAGGCACTGGAATGGGCTGCCCAGGGAGCTGGTGGAGTCAGTGACCCCGGAGGTGTTCAAGGAACGTTTGGATTTTGTGTTGAGGGATATGGTTTAGTGGGAACTGTTGGTGATGGGTGGATGGTTGGACTGGGTGATCTTGAAGGTCTTTTCCAACCCTGGTGATTCTGTGATTCTGTGAAGTGTTGCACCTCCCAGAACAAGCCACTTCAGTACCACCAGTACAGCTGCTGGGAATGGGAGCTTTGCCCTTGTGGTAGAGGGAAAGTGAGGCACAGCATGCTCAGACTGGCCTGCATCTCTGTACCAGTGAGCAGCTGGACTGCACAAGAGAAAGAGCTTTCGGGGAAGTGCAACCTGGTGAAAATCCCAGTGTTCTGCTCCTAGGTGCATCCATGGGTAAGGCACAGCTTCTGCCCCTCATCACCAATGACCTAGGAGTCCTGGGTTGCTTTACTCTCAGGTCTGCGCACCAGAGCTATGTACAATCAAGTCTCTAAAACCAAGCCAGTCTGCCATAAGGTTTGCTGCCATAAAATGATCTCAGGTCCCCTTGGGAGTTGCCCTTTCACCCAAAACATATGTTGGAACAAAATTGCTCCTTTCTGCTAAAGCTTGGGACATACATGCAGGGGCTATGTGTGGCAAGGCTAGCAGCCAAGCACTATGCTCTTGCACTACTGTTATTTGAACACAGGTTAGGAGCACCTGGGAGACTTTTTGAGGGCAGGAAGGATGTGGCCACAATCTTGTCCCAGGATGCATCCATGGGAGCAGCACGGGGAGGCCTAGGCAGCTGGTGGCTGTTGCCACCAAGCCTTTTTACCCTCCTGTTCAGCTTCTGCCTTTGCTGGTGGTTAGAGTTTCTTTCTCAAGTGTTCTCCCCCCACCAGGGTCCTTCTGCTCCATGTGCACTTGCAGTGCCCCAGGCTTGGCTGTCTCCCACCGTAACTTTCCCAGAGCCCTTTCCCCTGCTTTGTCCCTGCTCATTAAGCACAGTGACAGCTCCAGCAATATAATCCTGAGGAGGAGAAGGAGGAAGGCTGGTATGGGAGGAAAAGCCAAGACAAACGATATGAGTGGGAAGGGAGTGTAATTGGTGCTTGCTTTGGCAGAGCCACACTGCTGCTCACTCCATGACATGCGAGGGGCCACAGCAGGGAGGAGGAGGATGCTCAGCATGGATCCGTGCCCGGGCTGAGCTGCTGCAGCTGGTGGGCTCAACTTGAGATAGACCAAATCTATGCTTGGCTGGAGGCAAGGAATCTAGGGCACTGTGCCTTGGTTCCCAACCTTTGCGGACCTTGAGGGAAGGACAGGAGATGCTTCCCTGTGCAGCATGCATGGTCCCATGGGGAGAACCCTGGAGCTCTCCATGCTCCTCAGTCTATCTTTTGGGAATCTTTCCAAGCCAGCAGGACTCCACACTTGAAAAAAAAAAAAAAAAAAACCAACAAAAAACAAAAAACACAGCGAGTTTTTCTGATATATGTTAAAAAAAAAGTCAATGACTTTTCAGAGGTCATCGTCCTTGGAGAAAGCAGCAAAATGCTGGGTTGCAGCCAAGAAACAATTTCAGTAAAAGTGCTCCAAGTCCTCTTGTTTATCTCTTTCTCTCCAGTTGTGTTTTCCTGCTCTTTGCCTAGCCTCTCTGCATCCACAGAGTGGGAGATTGGGACCTGTCACTCTGGGATGCAGACATGCCCTCAGTAGGTTCAGGGTTTTGTTGCACAGACCACTTTGATATGAAGTATTCTGGAGTGTCAACTGAATCACTCAGGGAGCTTTATCAATTCCTGACAAAAATATTTCTCATGTAATGGACTCAAAAGTCATTATAAATAGAAAGCTTTCCAAGGGAGCTGACAAAACAGCCCTTCTTCTGGTTACTGTTCTCAAGGCCAGGAAAGAAAGGCAAGGCTGTACCTATACAAGCAAACCAAACATGCTCTGTGTTGTTCTATGTCCCCAGGTCTAAATTCTGGGATCATCAGAGCTCTTCTCTTTCACAGAATCATAGAATCATAGAATGGCCTGGGTTGAAAAGGACCACAGTGATCAGCTAGTTTCAACTCCCCTGCTATTTACAGGGTTGCCAACCACCAGACCAGGCTGCCCAGAACCACATCCAGCCTGGCCTTGAATGCCTCCAGGGAGGTGGCATCCATCTTCCAGGCTTGTAAAAGCTGCCACAGATGCCTTCCAAGTGGACACAAGACAGGTCAGGTGTGATCTGCTATGACCTTAGTGTCCAAGTGCAAGGACCAGCTTCCTCCATGGTGCTTATATTCTCCACTTGGTGCCATGGAAGAGGCTGCACTCCTTGTGCACAATTCTATTGGCACCAGCACTGGATCCAGTTGAAGGTGCTCAGAGACTTGTCTGGGTTGTTCGGGGAGATAAGACTTGTGGACAGATGGTCTGAGTGGGAACCCAGGAGGAGAAAAGTCTTGCTGGTTCCTTCTCATTGTGCTGTTAGCTCTTGCCTAATCAGCAACTTGTGTGGGTGATGGAGAGGATCCGGATTTGGCATCTCTCCGACCCAGGCTCCTTCTGGCTCTTCATTCAGTCCCAGAGCGTCATCTCCGGTGCTGCTTATCTGGATACTTTCTGCTAGGCTTTGTCTTGTGGGAAGATGACAGCAACTTTGGACAAGCTGTGGGGCTCTGAGCAGAACTGCTCCTCCCATGGGTTCTATATCTGAAACCTTATCCTGCAGCTGGGCTGTTCTGGTGGTATGATCCAGCCTACACCATCAGCAAACACTAAAATTTGTATCTGTGAGCGGATCCAGCTCTCCTTGCCCAGGATAGGGGCTGGCTGGATGAATCCCATTCACCTTCACCAAAATGCTGGCCCTGGGCTTCCCACTGCCTTCCTAGCCCTGCTAGGAAGAGGGAGAGAACCAACCTCCAGCCCAGAGCTTTTAGTTTTGTTTATCCATCTGCTTGTGAGTTTTGTTCTGATTTTTGGTACCTGAATATACAGACAGATCTTTCCAAACAATAACAACAAAAATCCCAGCCCATCCAAAGGAGAGAGATGGGTTTCCAACGATGCTGGGCAAACCCATTTTGAGCAAAGATCCATTTTTTGCTGGCAGGAATTAGGGTTCTCACCCCAGTGTGCCTCACAGGCATTTCCTGAAGCTAGAAAGGTACTGGGATAATCTTGATGATAGAAGAAGGGATGTGGGAGTTTTTTGGTACCTGAATACTGATTCCTCAAAGCTTGATCTTCATAGCTGGTCATGCTTGTGGATGCAGGGGAAAGCAGAAGAAAAGCATCGACTGGAGGACAGGAACAGCAGCAAAACCCTGCCAGCCCCCAAAAGCGGCCAGGCTGGGATGTTGGGATGTGCCCTCTTCTCCTGTGCACATGATGACTTTGATCCTTGCCTAGTGCCCTGGAGAAATCATGGTCTGATTCCTTGGTTCTAAGCAGGCCTGGAGTAGGGGACTGACCAGGCTGCTCTTCCTGGTCCAGATTCCTGCAGTCAAAGGAAGCCCAGCAGCTGCCTGACATGGGGACCTTTGTCCCCATGGTTTTATGTGCAGAATAGGCTCAGCCACCAGCCAGGTGCACCCTTACCCACTCCCACAGTACCCTTTGCAAAGGGAGGGGAGGCCATCCTCTCTGCCACCGATGCACCCATCTTCTCTTTATGGATGGTAGCAGTAAAACTTGGAGATGAAAGAGAAAGCCCAGGAGGACAAGCAAATAGTAGATCTGTCCTGCTGCCAGAACCCTCTGGAAAGTACCTTCCACAGGAGCCATCTCTCCCAGCAACGTGGTAGACATTAATGAGGAGCTTAGTTCCATTTTCTGTGTCACTTCCCACCTCTTCTTCATGTTTTCCATGTAGGAAAGGCTGTGACTGGTGTGCCTCCCTGGCCAGGGGGCTAGGGAAAACTTCCTTCTCTTTCTCTCAAGTGCTCTGCAATATAAAGGCATATCTGTATGGCATAATGGCTCTGGGGCTGTAGGAGATACAGAGCAGGTGGGCACCTCTAGCTTGGATGGGGCTGGAAGGGGATTGAGGAACAGCCAGCTGCTCCCTGAGATCCGCTTGGGAGCAGATCGGAGGAAGAACCATGGGATAAGGGCTGGGTAGTTGGGAAGAAGAGGAAATTTGGAGCTTTTGTCCCAGTTCCTCCATCCCTTCTTCCCAGCTCTATCTGCTGGCCATCGTGTGCTTATTTAGAGGGATGTGGCAGCTGTTCTGTGCCATTGGGAGGGTCACCATCTGCAGCCCCATCTGCTGCCTCTTCCAGCACGTCTCACTCTTCTCTGCTTTCTCACAGAAAGAAAGGTTTCCTTCTTGCAGATGTGTTAGCAGGGAAAACTCTCCTCTGCTGGGCTGTGCACCATCCCCACAATGGAAGCACACAACTGTGTTTATACGTGTTCTTTAATCTTGTTTAAACTCTCAAGCCATGACTTTCCACTGTTTCTAGGAAGATGCTGCTCCAAATAAGCAACACTGTCAAATGTCTTCTGAGCCTGTGAGGTGATCTCTGGTGAAAAACTTGAATAATTTTCATTGCAGTGCTGTGCAAACTGTAATTTCCCATCTTGTATTTAGATGCTGTGATTTTTGGAAAGGCACTGACCAGTATATTAAAGGATAGATAGCAGCCACTGTCTTACAAAGAATGAAAGCAGAAGTGTCTCGGATACACTGCAATTATAGATTCATTCAGCGCTCATAGTGCTTGGTTTCATTTCTCAGCTGATGCACAGTGCTTCAGAATTTGGAGCCAGCTGC